CCAGAGATTTGGCGCAATTTGTATAAGATTGGGAAGACCCATTGAATTTGGTCTCTTGCGTTGAATCTTAAACTTTATAAATATATAAATTACTTAATGATTGGCCTAGTTTCAGGTTAAATTTCTGAACTATCGAAAGAAAACAAATAAGTAAAGCAATAAAAATAACACGACTTCAAAAATCGACAGTAATAGCTTGGCAAGCGATAACACTATTGATTCTAGAAGCTTCCAAATTAGATACTACTACTTTAAAACGGCGGACGAGTACGCTGACTAGAATTCCAAGAAGTGGAATTAGTTTAATAAAACCCCACAAGTGCTTCTTTCGATACCGAAAATGTAAAGTAAAATGTTTTCTCGTTACAAAACGAAATAACAATCGGGGAATGAATCTTCGGTTGGTTTACCGCCAAGAGATATTTTCAGAAATTACAAATAAATTGTACAATAAAGTGCTATTGGGTACAAAGACAAATTTATTGGTTGGGGTTTTAGCATTTATACTTTACACAAGAAAAACAAATAAAAATATAAGAAAAGATAAATTCAGAAAGCAGCAGGGCATATTCAGGACATAATTACAAATGAAAAGCAGCACTAACACAATTAAACATAATAGTAACTGGGACCGGACGTCTAGTATACCTTTCTAGTACTATTATTATAATTTTTTTTTATATTCACAGTAGAACCATTTTACAATTACAAAAGGGAAAAATATATAATGGTACACTCAGGTCAAATTCAAATTCAAAAAAACAACTTAAATGTCACTTAACTTAAGTATGCAAATAACAAAGAAAAACTACTAAAAAATAACTTAGTACTTTTCAACGAGAAGAGAAATCATACGATTTCTACTTGGCGAAATCGAATTCAAATTTTTTCAAATTTTTACCACTGTGCTTTCTAAAACTTGTAAAAGCAAACAGCTTGATAAATTACTCGGCAATGGAATCTAAAACTGCATTCCACATGCCGTTCATTATGGTCATAATTCGTAACGAATTCAATTATGTTTAATATTTTGTATTGCCTCCCTAGCCTCTATAAATGCCTGTACGTCGGCTAATGCTGTCTATGAGGTTACGAATATTATCTTTCTGGATGCTTTGCCATTCATCTTCTAGAGCCAAGCGAAGTTCGTTAATTGAGGCTGGTGCGACTTCGCGACCTCTAATATTTCTACCAAGCATATCCGAAACGTGCTCTGTTGGGTTCAGATCTGGCGAACAAGCCGGTCAGTTCATTTACACTATAGCAGCAAACAGTTACGGGTTACCAAGTTATCCAGGCAACACAAGATTGTTCGTCTAAATGGATGTGTTTAAAATCAAAACTGGAACATTGAAATCTGGTAAAATGTGTTATTTTTAGACGAAACCAGGATTTGTGTAAAATTAGATGACCGACAAATTCGTGTACTTAGAGGGCGAGAAAGACAAGCAAGAACATAAACTACCACACCTATTTACAGATATAAAGGAGAAAGTGTCATGTTTTGGGGAGGCAATACGATCAATGAAAAAACTCATTTAATTTCCCTCCATTTAGTTTTAACAGTTTTCAGGTATATTAAATCTGATTCTCGAACCTGCAACTAGGCTCCAGAGAAGTCAATGAGAGAAGATTTAATTAATATGCATGATAATGCACCTCCACATACCAACAGAGTGAGTACAGACTTCCTTGAAGCAGAAGATATTAACCTTCTGGAGTGGCATGGCTTGCTCACCCGACCTTAACCCTATAGAGCATTTAAGGCATAAGCTTAAAACAAATATAATTGTAGCTCGCTCTGATAGCCAACAAAACACAGCACAGCTAGTAAAAACTGCTCTTGAAGAATGAAACAATCTACCACAACAAAATATTGACCATTTGCTTAGGAGTAAAAAGTAGAAGGAAAACGGGCACCAAAAAGGCAAAGAATTTCCTGTCTGAAAAGCTACGTGCGTGGTTCAACATAACAACCACATGTCTTTTCAGAACCCCAGTTTTCAAAATACTGATTGCCATGATGGTCGCCCACATCCGAAACGGATAGGCACTACAAGAAGAAGAAGATAACAATCAACTGGATAATATTTTCCCATCGACCATAAACGACAAAGGTGACTAAAATTATACAGCCTGTACCGTGAACTTAGAATCTTAGAAGAAACTAACTTACACATAACCTTTTAGCTGAGATCATCTTTTTCTTCAAGTTCCATCGTCTATCAAAGATCTGATCTGAACCAGAAGATCTGGTTGATCTCCACTCTAAATAGTTTTACGCTACTGCATTCAAATCATTCCCTCAGGTTCTTCAGCCAGGATATTCTTGGTCTTCCCACATTTCTCTTTCCTTGAATTTTGTCTTGTATAGTTGTAAATGAATTCGTAATAATAAGTATTTTTGTCCTCTCACCATAATTCAAGTTTTCGTCTTTTGATAGTTAATATGATTTCTGGTTCTAGTTACCTCCACGTCTGAAGCTCTCTGAATCCATGATATTCAAAGGATTCTTTTGTAACACCAAAATTCAAAGGCGACCAACTTATTTTTATGCTCGTTTTGGTGTCCGTACTTTCCAAGCCAAGAATTTTTATGCTATTTTTAGAGCTAGTTCTAGCCTTATATCCCGACAACATAGAAACTTTTAAGTTTAATTAATGATGCAGGTGCTATTTCTATACGTGTCGTGAATTCTTTGATTTAGTCTACATTTGATTTTAACCATGTTCATAAGTATTCGTCGATATCCAGAGTCTGAATTAAAGTATCTTCAATAATCAATTTGATGCTTGCATCTGCTAATTTAGTAATGATCATGCATTTAATTTTATTCAAATTAATTTTTAGGCCATATTTATGACAACGTCCGTTAAGGCTTTCCAGTGCGGTCTGTAAATCATTGTTGTTATCTATGTTATTATTGCTGTATCTTCTGCAAAACGTAAGTTATTTAAAATTTCTTTATTGATAGATATACCTTAGCGCTTCTTTAAATACCGCTTCACTGTAGACATTTAAGAATATTAAGGACTGCACCCAATTCTGGCGGACTCCTATCTGTATTTTGATATCTTGGGTGTTCTGATTTTCAACTCTTACCTTGGCAATTTAATTCCAATATAGATTGGATAAAATTTTCATATTGTGACTGTCAATATTTTTGCTTTTTAATTTATATCCATCAAATTTTTATGTTAGAGCTTATCAAATGACTTTTCAAAGTCTACAAAACACAAATATATACCCTAATGCAGTACACCATGGTTGAACGATTTGAATTCAACACATTTCTTGTTGCATTTAGTACACACTTATTATTACTTAGTTTAGATTGGGTATAATAAAAAAATAACAATTTCTTTAAAGAAAAAACAAAAGAAAAAGTGTAACAATACTTCATTCACAAACGGACTAAATTCACAAGCAATATTAAACCAAGTTACTCAATACCGGCACAAAAATAACTTTGTAGAGAGAAATAAATTTTGTAGATGATTGAGACTTTGTGTTTACATGCTTTGGCATTACGAAGATGGTAAAAAGGTTATAAAACGGTTCTATTGGATAAAGATAAAGTGGATTTAAAGAACACCAAAAGAATTTAAAGATGATACTGCGCCTGACATTATACGAGAAGAAATCGAATAAGCAATGAAGCAAGCTAAAAGAAGTAAATCTCCCGGAACTGATAAAGTTCTGCAACATAGAAAAGGTATAATACCTAAATAATGGCTCCAATCGACATTTTTACTGCTTTCCCAAAAAGTCAATACAAAGGAGTACAATGAACATCGCACCACAGCCAAAGTCATGTCTTAAAACTGTTTTTAAAAGTAATTCACAGTAGAATATATATAAGAAATTGGATGAACGCGTAAGTAATATACAAATGATATTTAGAAAAGGCGTGGGAACACACGATGCACTGTTTGCAGTAAGTGCTCTTTCGCAGAGATACCTAGATATGAATCTGGAAGTATGTGCTGTTTAATTTATTTTGAGAAGGCATTTAACAGAGTGCAACCTAATCGACTCAAAGAAATAATTTTGTTAAATAAAAAAATGAACAATAGAGACAATAGAACTATATGTAACTGACTGAGGATATCCCGATTTTGTCGTGGGGTGCGCCAAGGATGTATTTTATCACCACTGTTGTTTAATTTATACAGTGAAGCTATTTTACAACAAGCTTTGGTCGAAGTCAATGCGGGCCTAGTAATAAACGGGGAGCCACTTAATAACATAAGATATGCTGATGATACCGTCTTTTTAGCGAGAACACTAGAAGAACTGCAACACTTTGCTTAACTAAAACTACACATTAAAACGATTATAGAATAAAAATTAATTAGATGAAAACCAAGTTCATGGTACTTACAAAAATACAAAACACCAAAGTTAAGGTATTACTAGACAACATAGAAATTAAAATATCTTTATACAAATACCTTAGAGCATGGATCACAGACGATACTAAACAAACAAAATAAATAAGATGCCGCATTGAAATTTCACGGACAACTTTTAACAAAATAAGAAAACTTTTCTGTAATCGCAATATCAATATATCGGGTAAGAATGCTTCGATGTTATATTTTCTCCACACTTTTGCATGCGGTTGAGGCCTGGACACTGAAACAATCCAATATTAAAACCTGGAAGCATCCGAAATATGGTTACCAGTGTATTGTGAAAATATTATAAATACATCGCAAAACAAACGCGTTCTCGAACAACTAGGAAAGCCATGCGAAGTTTTAAATTATATAAAAACCAGGAAGTTAGAATACTTGGAGCACATCATGAGGGGTGAAAAATATGAACTACTAATAAATATATTGCATGTCAAAATCAAAGGTAACCAACAAAATTAGAATTGCAAGAATGATTTTCAATCTCCGAAAGAAGCAAAACCTAAAGAAGAAGAAAGAGAATTTAAATCAAAGATGTCGAAAAATATAGTCTAATTATTACGATATATTCTAAAACTTACCGTTTTTATTGTTGAGATATTCTCTGGTACGACACTATCAAGATGGGTTTCAATGATCAAGTCATCATCATCATTTTCGGTATTTTTCTTGTTCCTATTGGTTCGTTTATTTTTTCTCTTTCTCCTGTCTGGGATGCTTAAATGAGAGGAGACTACTGTCTGCTGTGTTTGGTGCTCGTAGTTTTCAGGTTCTGGTGATAAGGGTAGTATAATAATATCATCGCTGGAATCGGGTACAACTGTCACGTCTTGGTGCAGATTTTCCACTGTACATAGCTGCAAATTCTCTACATCAGATGAACATTCCGATGTTGGAGGTGTAGGAACTGCTGCCGGAACTTGCACCAAATACACTATTGGAGAAGCTGTTATGCAGGGTAGTACAACTTGTTGAGGTACTATCACAGAATGTGTTGTTTGGGTAACTGAAGCATGTTGAATCACAGATACTTGCCTTCTCTCTGTCACTTCGACTTTTACTTGTCGCATTGCTAATTCCGGCGACAATGGTCGATAGCAATGTGTCGGACTAGGAGGAGCGTCTTCTGAAGGTACTGTATGGTGTATCATAACCACGCTCGGCGCTGGTAGTGGTGGTAAACTTTGTGATAGAGAGAGTAGGTCATGTGCTGCTTCCGTTTCCTCTGCACTACGTTTGGTAAAACTAGGCGTCGTAGCTTCATCGGGTTGGGATTTTGTTTCTTCTTCTAGAGTAGTACCGTTGGGAACAAACTCCTGCGATTCTTCTGCAACAAAAAAATATATATTGGTTTTGTACTGTAACAGCTGTATTTCGTGATTAAGTAGATAAAACGTTATTACCGTGAGAGAAAGAAGGCCAGAATTATGACAATTGCCATTATTATAATCCTAGATTTTTATGCTTTCTCCGGAAAGAATCAAATGATAAAGGTTTTTACGTGGTTGTTATAATATACATATTTTAATCTAATTTAATTAAAAATCTGTTATTTTGGTTGAAATTTAAAAGTATGGTAAACTTACAGTGGAATTTAAAAGTTACGATTAACAATCGGGGAATTATCACAGCTATCTCCATTTCTATTTTCACATATTCGCCTACATTTTAGACTATGTTCCCCGAAACACACTGATAGGTATCAAATATATAAAGATAAACGACTTTTAGAATTGATTTGGCTGATTTGGTTGCTTTGTAGAAGAGATAAATTATATAACTAACTTCTAGAACAGACAGCAAACAATACAAGAAGAACCCATACGATTGAGAGGTAAACATGGGAAATAGAGTAGGGACAAAAAGTGATAGGAATTGAAAAACATCAAAGAAAAGAGCTTTAGTTTGACAAAGAATGTAAACAAGAAATAGACATAAAAAATTAACTATACGTACAGTATACAAGATACATAAAGAAGAACACGAGAAAGGCATAAAAATGTTGAAGAAGAACCAAAAAGGCTAGAAAATATGCACAAAAAGAACAGCAGATACGAAAATGACCAAATACTAAAAATGGAGGCAGATTTCAATCAAGGTGACAAAAGCAGAGCGTATCTTATATACTAAAAGGCTCTCTTGTGCGCAATACTCCTCCTAAATGGTGATAGATAGGAGAATAATTTTTTCGAATAATTAAACAGATTGTTGAGTAGATTCCCCCTAAGGCTTCAAATTTAAAAAAATCGAACCGGTTTAAAAATGGCGTCCATAAAATGAATTTTTCTTATAGTCAAGTATAGGAATTTTACAGGTTTCATTCTTCATAATTTAAAGTCCTAATTTTCAATGTATTTTTAAAATATGCCGGCGTCTACTTTTTTCTTATACTTACTGATTGAATTCAGAATTATGAAACCGGAAGTATTTATTTCCGGTAAGATATCCCAGCCTAACCTAATCTAACCTAAACTAAACTAACAAAATAAATAAACCAACTTCAAATTTCAAGTACAAAATATTTATTAACTAGCGAACCAACTCGACATCGAGTTTTGATGTAAGTTTTGCTGAAATTTAAGAGGGGCGGAGTATAACGATCCATCGTTTCCGTTGCCTGGTGTAAATTTTAATTGAAAATCGATACAGTAGTTTTTTTAGGATTTTCACCACTCCACAACATTCACTTGGAGAACTGAATCAGACATGTACATTCTGCAACGCAAAGTTTTTTCCCTGTGAAAAAGAAGGAACGGGAGAGGGTTTCACTCGATGCTGTGGCAAAGGCAAAGTCTGCCTTAAACCTCTTCTTTCATTGCCCTACCTTGAAGAGTTGCTGAATTCAACCACTGCACTTTCTGACAACTATAAGAAAAACATACGCTCCTACAACTCTTCCTTGGCAATAGTCAGCACTGGAATGAGCCTCGACAGTGATTAAAGAAATGGTCCATACTTTCTTCGCGTTCATGGAAACATGTATCACCGTGTAGGAAGATGGACGTCAACTGATGGTTCAGTCCCTTCATACGGTCAAGTGTATATCTATGATGTCGAAATGGCTGCACAATTCAGAATGGTTCAGCCTTCAAATCAAGGATGTGAGCCAGTCCTTATGGAAAATCTCACACGTGAACTTCAAGCAGTCAATCGTTACATGAGTGATTTCAAAACACTTAATGAAATGATTGCTTCACATTCATCCAACAGGCAAAATCTTCTTATGAACATTGTTGAACAGCGAGAAAACGATCCAAGAAGATTCAATTTGGCAACTGCGGTGATGTTGCTGCTTGTTTTTCAAGCAATAGATGGCGAACCTCCTGGAAATCAACACATCCAAATATATCGAAGAGATGCAGAGTCAGTTCTAAGAACAATCGGTATAACTGACCCTAAACTTGATGGTCTTGCTTACCCACTACTATTCCCTTATGTAAATCTTTCTGAAAATCCTTAAAAACTACTGTATCGATTTTCAATTTAAAAAAATTGGCAGGCAATGGAAACGATGGATTGTTATACTCCGCCCCTCTTAAATATCAGCAAAACTTACATCAAAACTCGATGTCGAGTTGGTCCGCTAGTACATACCTAACAAAATTTCGAAAGGTATATAAACTATGCACTAATCTTTTTAGAAACAGTGGAAGACAAATTATCAGTGATAATAAAATATTAGAAACAGAATCGAAAAGCTCTTTTGAGGGACTGCTGACAAACCCACCCACAAGACAGAAAGTAATGGATACCATTAAAGCACTGGAAAATAATAAGATCGCTGATACTGACAACATACCAGTTATTATTTCGTAAAGAAATGCCATTTTTCTCGGCGACATTCATAATCATAGGGCTTTGATCGGTAACTTCATTTTTACTACTTTTTAAAATTCTATTAATATCACTTATAATGCTACCTAAAGTTAAAATCAAAGCTTAATATCCATTAAATAGTTGGAAGTTATCTATGATTTTCTTGGTTCTTACTCACTTATTAACATTAAATAATATTGAATTTACTTTAGACCACATGGTCAATTGCTGTGCTAATTTTTTACAAGTTCATATATGTTGTTAGTTGCTTAACTGTTTATACAAGATCAGCGTATTATGTCCATTTACTTAGTTTCATTCACATGTTTGTTAATAACATTGACTGCTACACATCTTTTTAAGATTAACTGATGATGCTTTCAAAACTCGAAAGCGAAACGTCTTCAAAATAGATAAAGTAGCCTATCAACTTTGTCTTTTATTTCTCCACCTAGAGACCGATATAAGAACCCACCACTCGTCTGAGTGATCCTTATATATATATATATATATATATATATATATATATATATATATATATATATATATATATATATATATATATATATATATATATATATAAGGATCACTCAGACGAGTGGTGGGTTCTTATATCGGTCTCTAGGTGGAGAAATAAAAGACAAAGTTGATAGGCTACTTTATCTATTTTGAAGACGTTTCGCTTTCGAGTTTTAAAAGCATCATCAGTTCATCTAAAAAAGTACAATTGTACTTTTGATGATAAAGAGACTGCTATTTGTGTAATAGTAGTTTGTATTCAAGTTAATTATTAATTTTGTTAAACTTTACTAATTATTTTCCAATGTTGTGCTTACTTTGTAAAATTTTATATATTATATGTTGTTCCAATGTAAAAATGGTATATCCGTTAATAAATAAATAATAATGTCATCTACATCTTTATATATAAATGGTAATTCAAAAGGTAATTGTATAATCACATTATCTAAGAGATGATCAGTTACAATAGTTGCAAGGATTGGACTAATCAGGGAACCCATCGGTGTTCCAAAAATTTGAGAGTAAAATTAACCATTGAAACTAAAGTAAGTGTTGTTTAAAAATGAACCTAAGGATTTAAAGAAAATTGTCTTTTGATAATGTCGTGTACTCTTTTATAATGGTATGACTTGTCAACATAGCCCTTTATACAAATTGATTTTTGCAAATTTTTACCAATATTGGCTATATAATCTTATTGGCTATAAAAAAAAATCAAGTATTTTTTATACATTATTGAAATGTTTATTTAAAAACAATTAAAACATTAGACATTTATCGAATTTTAAATTTGTTTTCATAGTTTAGATTTATTTCAATGAAGCACTCTGAAATTATTTAATACCCTTATTAGTTAGGTTTTATCTTACAGAATTAAAACCAATCCCCAATCAAGTAGCAAGTAAAAAATTCTAGTATTAATAATAGCTGTGCCGTTGAAAATATTATTATTTAATAACGTCGCCAAATTTCAGTGCTTTCCTCTAACAGTCGAAAAGACCAAAAGAAAATATTTGTCCGTTTTTCGTAAGCAAATATTTTTAATTCTATTAGCGAAGACTTTACCAAAAATGTTATTTTAGATTTAATAAGCGCCAAGCCAATTCCGAACTTGCCGTTTAAGACTACTTAATTGTTTGAAACAATCTTTTTCTCTAATAACTTCAATCTAACTTCATCCGAAAATACGAGATTAAAGAATTCTACAGCTATTATGTTTTCCTGCCACACTCCAACTTTAAAATTACTTTATACTTTCGAATTCGTGATTAGGGATTCGGCTCAAAAAAATAAATTTGCATCTATCTGCAGCGGCGGGTATTTGGATTTTCTCTTATAGAAAATATTGTGAACAGGAATGATATAGATGGACGTTATCTCAGACACGCACGTAAAAATGTCTTCATTCGAAGAAAAGAGATATATTTTGTATATTCGTATATACATAGGTGTAGTATGAGACAAAAATGTTGCGAATATCGCACGTACAGCATCTCACCAATATTTTTTCTTTGTACAGTTAATAAAAGTATGTAAACTAAAATAAATTACTTCTAATTCCCTTCTTCTTCTACTTGTGCCACTCCTATCGAAGATTTAAAATCATCAAGGCTATCCTGACCTTATTGACAGCTGTTCTAAACAGTTCATTAGTGGTACAGCCAAACCACTTTCTCAAATTAGGCAATCATGACATTCTTCTAAGGCCTGGATTCCGTTTTCCTTATATTTTTCCTTGCATTATATTTTGAAGTAATGCATATTTATGTCCTCTCATCAGGTGACCCAAATATTCGAGTTTTCTTCGTTCAATCGTTGACAAAATTTCTTGGCCTTTTCCTATCCTTCGTATTAGTTCCAAGTTTGATACTCTTTCAACCCTACTTATCTTCAGCATTCGATGGTAGCACCACATCTCAAAACTTTCATTATTTTTATGTTGTTCTGTTTGAGAGTCTAGGCCTCTACAACGTATAATTGCGTGTTAAATACGTAGCCCCTTAGCATTCTTTATCGTAGAGGGATGCTTATATCTCTGTTGCAGAAGAATTTCCTCATTTTTATGAAGGTTGCCCTGACAATTTCGATACGTCTTTTTATTTAATTGTTTTGGTCTGGAACCCTTAATTAGGACTCTTTGAAGGAAAGAACAGAAAGCATAGAAAAATATCATCGAGTTAAAATTCTCGTAAAGGCATCAATTTCAATGGACTATACGAAGCTTTTCAAACAGCTTAAGACACAAATAGATGAGGACCGACCATTCGAGCTAACATAACCTGATATGTTACCATACTCTTCTGATTGACCTAAAGAAATCTTTTGACAGACTAAGACTCAGAGATGTAATCCATCTTCTGTACAATAGGGAAATCCCCAAAATATTAAACAAGTAATGGAAGAAAACAGACACATTAACACTAAGATGAAGTCAACAATTTATAAAGTCAGTGTAATATATGGTCGTATCTACAATAAATGCGAGGAATACCTGGATGGCACTCAGTTTGGTTTCTGTAACGAGTTTGGAACGAGAGAGGCACTGTTTGGAATGAACGTACTTGCTCAAAGATGTCGTGATATATCTGTAGACATATACTGTTGTTTTATTGACTTCCAAAAGGCATTTGATCGTGTTAAGCATTCTATATTGATCGAAGCTCTAAAAGACATTGGCTTGGACGGCAGAGATGTTCGAATAATTGCAAATTTATATTGTAATCAAACAACATCAGTTTTAGTAGATGGTGTGGAATCACAGGCTCTCAATATTAAAAGGTACGGCAGGGATGCCTCTTGCCACCTCTACTTTTTACCATTTACTTCGAAAGAATTTTCAGAAAAGCACGTTCTGAAAAACAAAAAGGATTACTTGTGAACGGCAAAGTCATCAATACTTTGCGATATGTGGACGATACAGTACTCCTAGCTTCTAGTTAAGAAGATCTGCAAACACTACTTGATAGTGTCGTTGAGAGTTGTAGGGAGGCAGGTCTGGATCTTAATATACGGAAAATCAATATACTCGTAATAAGTAAACAACAGCATACAAAACCGTCTATATATTGTAAATATTACCAAACTTGCAATAAATATGGACTACTATACAGTGCTTTTCAGATAAAACTATCCACTTTAAATAACTTTTGAACCTCTATTTTTTTGAAAAAAAACGCAAAAACACGTCAATTTAACTCTTTATTTTTTTTTAATTATTTCCCCTTTTTTTATTTTATATTTGGATTCTCCTTTTTGTACTGATTTCAAAAATGTATAATACCTTAGGCTTGAAGTGATTAGTTTATGAGATAGACAATTTTCCTGTTAACAAAATAGTATCTCTCTCACCTTAATTGACTGTAACAAAATAGGTTGTAGCATAATTTAAACTTTTTAACTATTTAACCGTACTATTTTTAGTACCTTCAAAAACCAAGAAACAAAAAAATTGACTTTTTATTAAAGTTTTATCAAAGGTTTTCGATATTATTTTTACACGGTATTAATTTTTAAACGAAACGTTTCCCGGTCCTTAGATAGGTAAAAGATGACAGATGATTGATTGGCCACCTAGGTCACTGGATTGAACACCCCTAGACTTCTTCTTTTGGGGATATTTAAAAACAAAAAATTATAGTACTCAACCAAAATCTCTAGATGATTTACGACAAAGAATAGAGAATGAATGTCGACAATTAAATGCACGCGTGTTAAGCAATGTCAGGAAGAATTTCAAAATAGATTGTACTATTGTATGGAAGTGAAGGATAATTGTATGATTTTAAACAATTATTGTAAAAATTTTTAGTATTGAAATGTTCATTCTAAATGTGTGTAATAAAATTGTCAAAAAATATTTTTTTTTCCAATTTTCTTGGTTTTGCATTTATTTT